GTAACAGGAATATAAGGCCCGTTACAAATAGACCACGTGTTAGGGTTTGAAGTTCTATTTCATTTTAACCATCAGTCGTTTTCCTCAATGTATTTGTCTCCTTTCTCCTTCTCTCTCTGTAATCTAAAATTCTACAACTCTAAATTTCTCAAATCTTCGTTTTAAAATTTGAGTTATGAATTTTTTATCAAACTATGTGGACTAATTTCTCAACGATCTATGTTTAAGTATGTTTCCTTCGTTATTCGTCCATGGCTAAGCTTTCAATTCTGATTCTTTCTGCCATGGTGTAGGTGGGTGGTGGGTGGGTCGGTTTAAGGGGCTAGATGGGTGGGTCGTGGTCCGGGTCGATTTAAAGGCTTAAGTGGGTGCATCGATTTTAAGGGTTAAGTATTTAAATTGGTGGGTCGGTCTTAGGGTTAGGTGGGTGGGTCATGGTTTTGTCGGTTTTAAGGTTAGGAGGGTGGGTCGGTTTAAAGGCTAGGTGGGTGACGGCTGTGGTTGGTGGTTTTAGGGTTACGTGGGTGACGGCTGTTTTTGGTGGTTTTAGGATTACGTGGGTGGGTGGGTCGGTTAAGGTGAATGGGTTTGGGTCAAGGTCTGTTAGGGTAAATGGGTTTGGGTCAAGGTCAGTAAGGGTCAGGGTATGGTGGGGGCTGGTGGCGATGGTGGTTTTTTTTTAAATTAGTGGCAGTGGGGGCCGGTGGCGATGGTGGCCGGTGGCCGGTGGGAAAACCGATTCCGACGGAATTTCCAACAGAAAAGATCGTTTTCCAGACAAATCGGGTTTCAATGACCTATTTCCAATGAAATTTCGTCGAAAACGGGTTTTTCGACGGATTATGGGGTGTTTTTGACGGAAGTATTCCGTCAGAAAAAACCTGTTTTCTAGTAGTGCGCTTTCCCATGGGGTTTCTTTTTGGTGCCCTCTCCTTTTTTTCTGGGCGGCTGCCTAGAAGAACAGGCTATCCTACCCTTAAGTTCCTTTCGGAACTTTGATAGAGCGGCCTGCAAGGTGCCGCCTGTTAAATGAGGTTCTTCGACCGCGTAAAATAAAGCGGTCAGAGGATCATTGGTGTTAATAGTAACCTCTATGTTCTCTACATATCCGTCCTCACTAGATGTGTATCCCCACAAATGGCGCCAAATGTTTCGGTGTTTTTTGAGATTCCCTCGGGATACAGATCCTCAATGTGCACGGACGACCGCAGACACTTGCAAAACAACGAATATTTCGGTATTGGAATATTCTCCTTCGACGGTTAAGTTGGTAAGCGGAAAACGAAGGATTTTAGAAAGAGAAAATAGAGAGAAGTTAGAGCAATTTAATATGGCTTGAATGTTATGTCTTAATCCACCCCCTCCCCATCATTAATGATTGGGGTATTTATAGGGGTGGGAAAGTGTGCCTTCTAGTGTTTGGTGCCCTAGAATAGGGAGCACTAATTGGTGGCGCAATCAGGTGAGGACATGTGTCCTTTGGGGGCACCGTTATAGCGCTTCTCTCGGGAATTGGGAAACCTGATGTAAGGGAGGCATTTTCATCATTCAGGTGCTCTTAGGTTTCCACGTGTCATCTTCCTATTGTGACACGTTGTAGGCGTCATTCGAAGCACGTCTACGTTAAGCATATTGTGAATATGCTTGGCACTCTTAGGAAGTGGGAATTGACATATGATTAGGGACACGATTAAGGACAAAAGCAAAGTAGATAGCCGCCAACAAGTTTTTAAGGAACTTGTAAATCGTTCACGGATCAAAAAGGCAACCACGAATAAAGGACAACGATATGCAATAATGATTGACCCGTGAAGGTTACACCCCATTCATAATCCATGAGATTACTAACTCCATATGGTTCGAAACCACGAAAGAAGGATCGGGGATGTGGTAAGAAGTGAGTCATGGAGTCACATTTGCCCGTATTGGCCTCTACTCGATTCTTTTTATGAAAAGTATATCCTACGATCTCAAATACATGCAAACAAGATCCAAATTGCTCCGAACTATTGTTAAGCTATATTGGTTGAATGTTAATGCAACACATAGATCTAAAATATCGTGATCACTTGATTAAACAACAAGATTAAAAAGGAACCTAAACCAGTCATCCAAATTATCTTATTAGTCATGATATTCAATTACATATTCCCTTTATACATGCAATATGGTGATCAATACAACAATAAAACCATCATTAATATTGGAAGCAGTTTAGCCATAATAATGTTAGTCAAATCAAATCATAATAACCCTAATCATGAGACTAGCAATATAAAATAAAATAAGTAATTAAATTAATTAATTACTCACGTTCCATGCGCTCCTTTAAATTCCTACATCATGAATAAATTGTTAGTAACTTCAATAAAAATATAAAATCAAATTGAAATAAAATTAAATAAAAGTAGAGTTGATTTGGGGCCAAACCCTCAAACAGTTCTACCTTTCACGCCTTGGTTTAAGTTTAGAACCTCAGGTAAAGTACAGACTCCGGCAAGTGCTTAGGGGATGTATTGTTGAAGAATAGGGAAGGCTAGTGTTTAGGCTAGAGCATAAGAGAGAAAGAGAGAATAATTTGGTGTATAAGAGGGAAAGAGAGAATTGTTTGTCTCCCAAAACAGGAGAAATCAGCCTCGTATTTATAGAAAAAATGTGAAGGGTGAAGCACGAAACCCTAGAATTGAAATGCGCCGCGGAGAAACCCTGGAAAATTGCCGTGTCACGGCAGATTTTGCCATGGCACGGCAAATTTTTCCGTGTCGCGGCAATCTTGCTGTGTCATGATAGATTTTACCGTGTCGTGGTAGATTTTGCCGTGTCACGGCATTTGTGTTTTTTAGAATTTCGTCCAGATTCATTTTTATATTTTACTTAAGCAATAAGTACGTGATAATTAGGCGTCGTTTCAGCTATTTTGGAATTATTTCAGGTTTAGGGTGTTATTATTTATTATTCGGACTTAATTAATAAATAACACGAAATGAATTAAAAAGGGTTTGGGCTGAAATGTGGATTGGACTGAGTTTGAATAAATGTTTGGACTAATCTGTTGACTTATTTACAAGCTATGTTTGACTGAATGTGGGTTTTAAGCTCTCCCACGGTTAAATACTTGACTCGGCCAATAATGGTGGTGAAAGGTTGTTCATCATCGGGTTTGATTTTGGGGAGACATTTTTAGGCGTCTACACACGTGTCACCCTTTTTATTGGGCCACATGTCACCATGGGAATGGACCACGTGATGGGGTGTTTTTTACCCTAAACGCTACTTAAATAAGAAAAAGATCAAATAGACAAGAAATTTAAAAATTTTAATCCAACAAATAATTTTCACAATTTTTTATCTAATCTCATCTGAACTTATTTTTTCTAAAATAAGTAAAAATAAGTTGAACTAAACCGAGCCTAAAGTTATTATTGCAAATTTAGCATATAAGTATGATTGTGTATATACCTTCAATTCTAACATAATAAAATTCAATCAGCATTGAATTAAATTAAAGGAGATTGCCCCATGGTAAATCAATCCTAATTGAGTCATAATTGAGGCCCTGTTCACTTCACCTTACAAAAAGTAATTTTCAGTAAAAGTAATTTTAGTTTAGTAAAATTAATTTCAATTTAATAAAAATAATTTAAGTTCAGCAAAAATAATTTTAGTTTAGTAAAAATAATTTCAATTTAGCAAAAATAAGGTGAAGTGATGACAATTTGATTTCAATCCCACACCACAGTCTACCCACGGCATAGCTCGTCAAGGATGAATACATGAGGAGCATGGCAGACTACTCCGCAACCTGACCGTGGCCCGCAACAATCTTTCGCAACTTGGTTGATTGTGGCCAATAAAAAGTTCAGCGTTTAAGATAAAATTTTGCCGACTTTGAAGACTCCTAATTCCGCCCAACTTCCCTATTATGCTTTCTTATTTTATACTTACTCTGTTTTTTTATTACACCATGAATGATTTCACGCTTGTCAACGTATTACTTTGGCTATGTTTTTCCTTATGGATAAATCACAAAAGATAGCCAAATAAGATTATATGAATAGTGTAAAAGTCCCTTATGATGCAATAAAAGAAAAACGAAAGAAGCCTTAGACTTATTAAAATAGTAAAAGTCCCTTATGGTGCAATAAAAGAAAAACGAAAGAAAAAACAGGGGGATTCTTCGAAGCCGCATAACTGGCGTAGAAGCCTTAGGCTTATTAAAATAGTATGAGATTTGTTTTTTTCTTTCTTTAATAATACTTTGGATATGTTAGCAGGTTATTCGTTTTTTCTTTACTTCAGTTATTTGTGCTTTGATATTTTAATTATGTGTTTCTAGTTACATATTCTAGGGTAGTAGGGTTACATTGAACCCTAATATGAATTAATATATGATTTTTCCCTCAATCCCTAATTTAATTAGATTTTATGTTCTTGTTTATTGAATTGTGCTATTTTCTAAATACTAGGTTAGACATAATTTGGTGTTGACTTGAACCTTATATCTATCTATCAACAACATTTTGGACTTAGATGATTTTGAAATTGAAAATAGGCAGAACGGATTGTTAGGAAACTAGGATGTCGTGTTTAATGTCTCTAATATGCATGAACCCATGAGAATAGGTATGATTGTATTTTTATGGAAGACATTAATTGATCGAAAGAAATTCTTGGTATTATGCAAGGCGTGTCTTTCCTTTTCATAATTTGATTATTTGGGGTAGGGATTTATCATATGTTAATTTATAATTGTATAAGTATTTATTACTTGATTCGTATTTGATATTTTAGTAGTCCATAGTTACATAATCCATCATCTTATCTCTTATTTAGTTTTGTCATTCGTAACAGTTAATTGTCAAACAACCTTCTCTATGTGGGAACAACTTTCACTTACCACTATCTTTTATTACACTATCTTTTCAGTGTAAAAAATGTAGTATGAATGATGATCATAAGAAAAAGAAGTTTCAAAATTTCAGGGTTTGAAGGGTCGGGGAAATACATAAGAACTTTCAAACTTTTCTTGTTATATTGAAATTAATCTAACAAGATTCTTCGCACATACACCCTTGTAACAAAAATGAAAAGCAATAATTATTGATACATATAGGCGATTTCGCTACATTAAGGACCAAAGCTAATTAATAACCAAGTATCGCCAACAACGTAGAATAGATGCTTACATGTTCCTTCGTTTTATATAGAGTAGAAAGCAAAGGATTTAACGTCTTCTACCTCTATAATTGCTCTCTCTTTGACATGTGAAATACATGGCCGAGACCGTGATAGGCTTATCGCGTACCTAACAAAAATAACCTGACTATTCCTTCTAACTGTGTAGTAGGGCAAGTAAGGATCGAATCCCAAGAGACTATGGTTCATTCAATTAATCAGACTCAATTAATCACTAAGCACGTCACCAATCAATAATGGATGATAATAATCAACTAATATATTAAATAACACAATTAACTAGAGGAAATATTAATCAATAAACTAAAGCATCCAAGATCAAGCATTACCACGATTATGATTGATAAACTAATAAATCTACCCCCAATATATAAATCAATTGACAAGAAGAAAAGCAATCCCTAATAATAATACCAAAGGTCTCTTCCAAGTTATCAATGGCTTCCCAAATTAACTATCAAGCCTACTTCCGTGGAATCAAGCGAATAAGGGACATTAAACACCATGCCTAGATTCCTAATTATTCAATCATCTACTTCCGTGATGATCTTCAAACCCTTAATTGGAATAACCTAATCCCGTTAATACCCAACTTCCGTTGCAATAAGAACAAAGGGATGATAACAATACTAATTATTCCTAATCTAGTATTGGCATAAACACAATCAATTAAGCATGTCAATTGGGATTATTATTGGGGAATTTAAAGATCTACTTTATACATCAATCATAATCGGGCTTAGCAAGATCCCGGATTAAGGAAACTACTCACACATCATAATAAAATCAAAATCAAGTTCAAAAACAAGAAACAGTAAAGAAAACATATTTAGAGAACAGTGAATATCAGAAAAGAGTGAAGTAAGATAAATACCAATTACTCCAATTGAAAGAACTCAAATTGTTGATGAACAATTGATTAATCTGGGATTAAAAGATTGAAATTGCTTAAAGGAAATAAAACTAGGGTTCTTGAGAGTTTTCTAGGGCTTAAGGAGAAAAACTAATGAAAAACTCACTCTAAGAGTTAATTACAAAAGGGTATTTATACCCTCAAAAGATAGAAATTCGGAAATAGCTGAAATCGCGCAATCTTGAACATCGCCCGGTCAGACCGGGCAAACCTCGCCCGATCGGGCGGAGGAAGGCTGCGTAAAATACGACAGTTTTCCTTCTTTGCCCGGTCAGACCGGGCGAACCTCGCCCGGTCGGGCGCGCGTAACACGTTTCCAGAATTGCATCTTCATAACTTGACTTCTTCATCGCCCGGTCTGACCGGGCGAAGCCTGCCCGATCGGGCGCGCGTTGCACCGTTCAGAATTGGGCTTCTTCCTGTGAACTCTTCATTGCCCGGTCTGCCCGGGCAAGCCATGCCCGGTCGGGCACTCCACATAAATTGCAGTTCTTGGCTATCAACTCTTCCGAATCTACTAAAAACACGTCCAATTGCCTAGAAACGCTTCATATTCCTGAAAAGCTTACTAAAACAATCGAATACACTAAAGAAGAGATTGTTAGCAAGAAATGGCTCCGTAGAGCTCAAAACCATATAAAATTACTAAGTAAAACCGGGGAAAACCATTGTATAAAACACGTATATCAAATTCCCCCAAGCTAAACCTTTGCTTGTCCCTAAGCAAAGCAATGAATAAATAAATCAATACTTCACCCCAAAAGCAATTCAAATCAATAAATACGATTAAAGGTAAACTCGACAGTTATGCATCAAAGTCAACCAATCAAATCCATCTGACTACTCATCCTGTCTGACAATAGTCAAATAGAGCAAACCACAAGAGCATATAGAATTCAAGACTAGTGTTCACACACTCAACTCTCATTTATGTGGCGAGTAAAAGATATACTCGATCGCTCTCCATCCAACTCCTTTAAATGTGAACAATGCCCTCCCAAACTCACGCACTCGTGTGTTTAAAGAAAACAAGCACTCAACCTAGCAGTCGACTCGAAATATATCAAATCATTCTTTGCATTGGAAAACAACTAATTTCACATTCACACAACTCTATGCACAAAGGTCAGAAGGTCTTCAAATCTTGTAATGTAAGGCTAGGATAAAAGGTAGGAAATATTTGGGAAAATGTAAGAGTAAAGCTATGCTTAAGGGAGTCAAAATCCTAATAAATAAAACCAAGATCAAAATGAATTAATGACCAAATCATCTCCAACACAACTCAACTCTACCAAAAATTCACCAAACATCCAATTATATTAAAAATTTCCAACACTTAAAATTTCACTCATATATACAAAATATAAAATTATAGAACTTGAGTTAACAAACAAACTTTGAACTCTCCTTTTTTTTCTTGAGCAGCCTTCAATTAGAACACTTGAACATTGAAACAATTTTTTCTTTTGCTCTTTCTTTTCCCTTTTTTTTCATCTCACATTGGAATTTTTTCTTTGCACAATAAATTTTCAATTTTTTCAATCCACAACAATAAGAACAAATAAAAACTTCTCAAATCCACCCAAAATTGTGCAGATTACATGCACACTACAACTCCCTCACCTCACTCACTATTAGCTCCCCCAAGCCAAGCTTGGGACTAGTAACCAATGGGGCTTAAATAGGCTTGTAATGTGGCAAAATAAACAATAAAAGGGCACAAGCAACAACATGGGTAGCAAGAAGGGAACAAATGTATCTAATATCGTCTGAAAGCCACCTAGAGGAACAAATGCCTTCGTCCTCCTCAATGTGCATATTAATGAGTCATGCAAACATTACTCAAAGTTATAAACCAATACTCAACTTCATTGACATACCAGGAACTAACACACATTCCTAACCAAATCAACTAGTCAAGCACTATATTCACAAGTAGTTGGGCAAAATTGACTCATGTTAAGACATCCAAGTAATCAAACATCAAATCATGGCTAACCTATCCACAATACTCGTCATCATATACCAAGAATTAAAACAATTTTCATGAATGGGGCACAGGGAAGCATGATTTATTATTCATTGGATCGTATTTTTTGTATGTTTTTTTTTTTTTTAAGATAAAAACAACTAAAATAACTACACTAAAATAAAACAAGAAAGATAAGAGAGATAAGGAGAGAGAATACCACATGTACGAAGCAACTCCCCCAAGCTAAATGCGGCAATGGCCTCATTGCAGCTTAAGGAGAGCATAGGAATCTCGACGGCTCCTCAAAAGGAAGCGGAGAAGAAAAGAAGACGCTGAAATCCCTAATATAAGCCCGCAGGATTCCGTCGCGCCCGATCGGGCGAAGGAGACTGGACTTTTTTTTTTTTTTTTTTTTTTTTTTTTTTTTTTTTTCAGATTCTGCTACTCGCGCCCGATCGGGCAGACATTGCCCGGTCTGATCGGGCGGAGTAAAGCTTAGCTTCATATTCTCTTTTTGGCTCTTTGTTTCTCGCGCCCGATCGGGCGGACTTTGCCCGGTCTGCCCGGGCGAAGAGCAAAAAACGCGGTAACTCGATCTTTGACTGCTCTCTTGACATCCCACTCGTATTCATCCTCATTGAGTTTGTGGTGAGGAAGAGAATGTGATATCTGACTTTTCTTCAATAGGATCTCCCGCTCGATAGTGCTTCACCCTTTGTCCATTGACTTTGAAGGTGCCCCCGGTGTTGTTCCATAATTCAATGGTGCCATAAGGATATGCTTTGTAGACCGTGAAAGGGCCCGACCATCTTGACCTGAGTTTCCCTGGAAATAGTTTCAACCTTGAATTGAATAGAAGGACTTGCTCTCCTTCTTTCACAGAATTTGGAGGGGGAAGTTTCTCTATTACCTCTACTTTGGCTTTGTCCACCTCAATCCCTTTGTTTGAAACTACATGGCCTAAAACGATTCCCTGTTGTACCATAAAATGGCACTTCTCCCAGTTCAATATCAGATTGACATCCTGGCATCTATGGAGCACCTTTGTTAGATTATCAAGGCAAATATCGAAAGATGAACCATAAACAGAAAAATCATCCATAAAAACTTCCATAGAATTTTCTATGAGACCTGAGAAAATAGCCATCATACACCGTTGGAACGTGGCTGGGGCATTACACAGTCCGAATGGCATTCTGCGATATGCGAAGGTGCCATATGGACATGTGAATGTAGTCTTTTCCTGATCACAAGGGCGGATGGGGATTTGAAAAAAACCGGAATATCCATCCAAGTAACAGAAAAAGGAATGGTTAGCCAATCGTTCGAGCATTTGATCAATGAAAGGCAAGGGGAAATGATCTTTACGGGTGGCTTTATTTAATTTTCTGTAATCAATGCACATCCGCCACCCTGTAACAGTTCTTGTGGCAACAGGCTCGCCTTTGTCATTCTTGACAACTGTCATACCTCCTTTCTTTGGTACTACTTGTACAGGACTAACCCACTTACTATCTGAGATAGGGTAGATTATTCCTGCAGCAAGCAATTTGAGAACCTCTTTCTTGACTACCTCCATCATAGTTGGATTTAGCCTTCTTTGAGGTTCTCTAGAGGAGGCATGATCGTCCTCAAGAATGATCTTATGCATACAAAAAGAGGGATTAATACCCTTGATATCATCAATGGTATACCCAATAACATTTCTATATTTTCTTAAAACAGCGAGAAGTTTCTCTAATTCAATGTTATTAAGCTCAGCATTAACAATAACAGGGTATGTATTTTTAGGACCAAGATATGCATATTTAAGATTAGATGGAAGGGGTTTCAACTCTACCTCGGGAGGCGTCGAACTCTCCCCAACACTCGATGTACTAAGGACTTCCTTGACTGGAGCGATGATTGGATTAGCTTTTGCGTCTTCTAGTAGCCTCGTGTACTCCCTTACTTCCCAATCTTCATCATGGATACTCCCTATCAACACCGTTTCAAGAGCATCTTCCTTTTTGATCAGGGGAAGTTGTTCTTGTTGTAGATCATCGAGGACATCCACTTGACAAATAGTCTCACCCATAGACGGATTTCCCATAGCATTCAGTAATGAATACTCCATTTTCTCATCCCCTACTTCAAATGTTATTTTCCCATTCTTCATGTCAATAATTGCACCTGCAGTAGCTAAGAATGGTCTACCAAGAATAATAGGGACATGGGCATCTTCTTCCATTTCCATAACAACAAAATCACATGGAATAAAGAATTTACCAACTCGCAATGGAACATCTTCAAGTATACCGAGGGGAAATTTAACTGACCTGTCTGCAAGTTGCAGAGATATCCTTGTAGGCTTTAGCTCACCCATTTGAAGCTTTTCGCAGATGGAGAGCGGCATAAGGCTTACACTTGCACCAAGATCGCATAGCGCTCTATTGATCTCTATATCTCCGAGCTTCACTGGGATTGAATAGCTGCCTGGATCACCTAGTTTCTTAGGAAGAGTGTTTTGCAGAATGGCACTACATTCTGCAGTTAGAGAAACAGTAGCATTCTCTGCAAGCTTCTTCTTGTTAGATAGCATGTCTTTCAAAAACTTTGCATAAGAAGGCATTTCAGAAATTGCATCCAAGAACGGTATATTAATGTGAAGTTTCTTAAGGATGTCTAGAAATTTACCGTACTTTTTCTCTAACTTAGCCTGGGCTAACCTCTGCGGGAAAGGGACTCTTGGCATGTATGGGGCGAGAGGTGGGATCGGTTCCCGTGGCTTTTCTTGAACATCATTCCTTGGAATTAGGCTGTCTGGATCTCCCGCCCGGTCGGGCAGTGATTGCCCGGTCTGACCGGGCGAAGAAGAGCTGCTTATGTTCTTCTGTTTGTCTGGAATTTCTTCTTGCGCCCGATCGGGCGGACCTTGCCCGGTCTGACCGGGCGAAGAAGAAATTCGCACAGTCCCCTGTTTTTCGTCGACTGCTTCTCGCGCCCGATCGGGCGGACATTGCCCGGTCTGACCGGGCGAAGAAGAATTTTGCAAAATCCCCTGTTTTTCACTCATTCCCTCAATATCTATCGTTGATGGTTCCCTTACGGGAAGGTCTTCCAACTGTTTTCCACTCCTTAAAATTACAGCATTCATGTGCCCCTTTTGTGGTTGCTCTTTTTGGCCAGGAAACGTACCTGGTGTTTTTGAAGATTGGCCGACTTGATGAGCAAGTTGGCTTATTTGATTTTCCATGAGCTTATTCTGGGCTTGTAACTGTTGGATGGAATTATTTGTGGTGTTGATGAAGTTCTCCATCATTAGTTCGAGATTGGATTTTTGAGGGAGTGGTTGCATAGGTTGCATGGGTTGTTGTACTAGGGGTGGTCTTGGTTGAAAACCAGGTGGATTATAATTGTTGTTTCGAGGTGGGGGCGGAGGTGGATTTTGCTGAGCCTGGGTGTTTTTGTATGAGAAATTTGGGTGATTCTTCCAACCTTCATTATAAGTATTAGAATGGGGATCGTATGGTCTTTTAGGGTTGGAATTGTAGAAGGCATTGGCTTCCTCAATTGATACCTCATTCGAATTTCGTGGGCAATTAGGTGCGATGTGACCTTGAGTATTACACATTTGACAAGTTTCTAGCACATTATTAGAAGATCCAGTTTGTAATCTATCGAACTTGCTTGAAAGTGCCTGCACAGAACTAGTTAAAAGAGTTAGAGCATCAACATCTAATTTACCTCCTTTCTTGACACTATTTCGGCCGCCTGGGTGATAGTTGTCATTGGCTGACATCTTCTCAACCAGCTCCTTTGCTTCGGTTGGATTTTTAGTTAAAAGGGAGCCTCCAGATGCGGCGTCGATATAGATCCGGAATTCATGGGTTAGACCGTTATAAAAGGTTTGGATTAACATCCATTCAGGTATGCCATGATGAGGGCACTGTCTCTGTAATCTCTTGAATCTCCTCCATGCGTCATATAAGGATTCTTCATCTGATTGCCTGAAAGTGGATAGCTCGTTCCTTAATCTTGCAGTCTTTTCTTGTCCCAAGAACTTGACCAGAAAAGCTTTTACTAGTTTATCCCATGTATCAAAGGAACCAGAACCCTCATCTCTTAACCATTCCTTCGCCCTATCCCGTAATGAGAATGGAAAAAGGCGAAGTCTAAGAGCATCATCTGTAACACCATTCAGCTTCATAGTGTCACACTTTTCCAAGAAACCATCTATATGATTCACTGGGCAATCAAGAGGTGTGCCAGCAAATGAATCATTGGATATGAATTGAATAAACTGCGGTTTCAATTCAAAATTCTGAGCGGTGATAGGTGGTCTAACAATGCTAGAAAGGAGTCCGGTTGTTGTGTCAGGGATACCGTACTCCAAAAGAGACTTTGTTGCTTGGTCTTCCATATTTCTGTTACCTGCTCTTCTTCTACTTCTTCGTCTTCTTGCAGTCGCTTCAATTTCTGAATCGAGAGGCACTAAGTCGTCTGACCCTGAGCGACGTGTTTGCATACAACAAAGAACTAGGCAAAGAACATCAAAAACACAGGAGGCAATAGCCGAAGCAACAAACAACGCTTAGTAAAAACGAATCACGGAAAATCAATATGAAACCGTTATTCCCCGGCAACGGCGCCAAAATTTGATAGGCTTATCGCGTACCTAACAAAAATAACCTAACTATTCCTTCTAACTGTGTAGTAGGGCAAGTAAGGATCGAATCCCAAGAGACTATGGTTCATTCAATTAATCAGACTCAATTAATCACTAAGCACGTCACCAATCAATAATGGATGATAATAATCAACTAATATATTAAATAACACAATTAACTAGAGGAAATATTAATCAATAAACTAAAGCATCCAAGATCAAGCATTACCACGATTATGATTGATAAACTAATAAATCTACCCCCAATATATAAATCAATTGACAAGAAGAAAAGCAATCCCTAATAATAATACCAAAGGTCTCTTCCAAGTTATCAATGGCTTCCCAAATTAACTATCAAGCCTACTTCCGTGGAATCAAGCGAATAAGGGACATTAAACACCATGCCTAGATTCCTAATTATTCAATCATCTACTTCCGTGATGATCTTCAAACCCTTAATTGGAATAACCTAATCCCGTTAATACCCAACTTCCGTTGCAATAAGAACAAAGGGATGATAACAATACTAATTATTCCTAATCTAGTATTGGCATAAACACAATCAATTAAGCATGTCAATTGGGATTATTATTGGGGAATTTAAAGATCTACTTTATACATCAATCATAATCGGGCTTAGCAAGATCCCGGATTAAGGAAACTACTCACACATCATAATAAAATCAAAATCAAGTTCAAAAACAAGAAACAGTAAAGAAAACATATTTAGAGAACAGTGAATATCAGAAAAGAGTGAAGTAAGATAAATACCAATTACTCCAATTGAAAGAACTCAAATTGTTGATGAACAATTGATTAATCTGGGATTAAAAGATTGAAATTGCTTAAAGGAAATAAAACTAGGGTTCTTGAGAGTTTTCTAGGGCTTAAGGAGAAAAACTAATGAAAAACTCACTCTAAGAGTTAATTACAAAAGGGTATTTATACCCTCAAAAGATAGAAATTCGGAAATAGCTGAAATCGCGCAATCTTGAACATCGCCCGGTCAGACCGGGCAAACCTCGCCCGATCGGGCGGAGGAAGGCTGCGTAAAATACGACAGTTTTCCTTCTTTGCCCGGTCAGACCGGGCGAACCTCGCCCGGTCGGGCGCGCGTAACACGTTTCCAGAATTGCATCTTCATAACTTGACTTCTTCATCGCCCGGTCTGACCGGGTGAAGCCTGCCCGATCGGGCGCGCGTTGCACCGTTCAGAATTGGGCTTCTTCCTGTGAACTCTTCATTGCCCGGTCTGCCCGGGCAAGCCATGCCCGGTCGGGCACTCCACATAAATTGCAGTTCTTGGCTATCAACTCTTCCGAATCTACTAAAAACACGTCCAATTGCCTAGAAACGCTTCATATTCCTGAAAAGCTTACTAAAACAATCGAATACACTAAAGAAGAGATTGTTAGCAAGAAATGGCTCCGTAGAGCTCAAAACCATATAAAATTACTAAGTAAAACCGGGGAAAACCATTGTATAAAACACGTATATCAGACCGGCATACGAAGATCGTAACGTTCAGCAAATTCTCTGGTGAAGAAGTTTTGACGCCACCCAGGATGACTGATCGTTTTTGTTTCATGATGACGAAATACCACAAACACAAATCTATGTATTCCCAATGAAGGTCTTGGGCTTTCATAAGAAACAATTTCTTGCCCTACATGGATATAGTATACCATTAACACAATGCATATGCATAATACATATGGGGAAGAGGAATTACAAGAATTTGTCATGTTACAATGTGACAATGTAACTATTTTACACACCAATCTAGCTATTCCCTTTGTTTTACAGAATGGTATTGAAACTATTGATTAGGAATCAGGATTGAAACTAAGCTGGTAAGAAATTGAAACTTTATTCTTAATACCTAGTAAATGGTGGTTGTTTAAGAACGATTTTTTTTTTTATTTATTTATATGTAGAGATTTGGTATGAGTTGTACCTATTTCCTCTACTATTGGGCTTTTTTTATCCCCGTACCTTGTACGTTGGGGTATTTCTTAAACAAACATTAGGTATATGGGTTTTATGTATTTCAAACCCATACATATTATCTAGCTAGGTCACGAATCACGGTAATAGAAAATTTTGGGGGTTATAAAGGGCCGGGATTACTCAAACAATCCCATGACCTAATTTGATTAGTTAATTGGAGATCATACATATAGCTTCATACCTACGGAAATGCAAAACAAGGCTTAAATAAAGAAAAGGCACCTCAAGTTAGGTGAGAAATTCTTGAGGTGAAGGGCACATCAAAAACCAGATCAAAAGGCCAGGCATTTCAAATGAGCATTCTCTAGGATGTGTTTTGTCACCACAATTGTTTGATATATTCCTTAGACCTTGTAGTTTGAATTTTTATATCTTATTGCAATCAAATGAGTTCCACAATTAGAAGTTTTCTTATATTTCTAATAAGTTTCAGATTATATAAATTCATACTTACAAATTTTACAATTTTAAAAAAAAATAAAGAAAATAAGCCAGATAGCACCTTAATTCACCCCTTCCCAATAGGATTATGATTGGCAGAGAGTCCATTATGCATAAAACACTCTAAAATATTTCACATTCGAGTCATAAGAATGACGGAGAAAATATGGTCAAAAAAAGAAAATTATTTTTATTCCTTTTTTTTTTTAATTATTATTATCGTCTTTTCTTAAATCTTGCACCCAAATATTATACACTGATTGGACTTGTATTATTACTATTTTTTTTCAGAATAGCTTTATTTATAGAAAGAATTGAAATATTTTTAGAAAGAAATGAAGTATATATAACAATATATATTTTGAAACTAACCGTTATGTTCTGTTGAAAATAAAATAAATAAAAAAAATATAAAATAAAATAAAATAAAAAACTATATATATTACACTCGTAAACCCCTAATCCCTACTCTTTATTTTTACTAAAAAATTAATATTTCTCTTATTATCTTCTAGCAACAAAAACTAAAGAAATGAGTATAATTAATTGAAAGTGCAGCAAATCATTTTTTTTTAACACCTTTAAAAAAAATCATTTATTTTAATATTTTTGATAGGAAAGAAAAGCAAAAGGTTATTATAAAATGATTATTTTATATTTTATAATTGGAACTATTTTGTTGCAATTTTTTTTTTTTATAATATTGTTGCTTATCAATTAATAAGGGAAAGAAGAAAAAGGGAATCTTGTTTTCCAATAAAAAAAAAATTAAAAATAGGATAAATAATGAGGAACACATGTAAACACCTATATAAAAAGTAGTTAGCTTAGATCAAAACACGGAGGATCTATAAACTTAAAACTTCCATGATTTGTTCCACTAAAAATTGAGGGTTCAATCAATTTATTATTATTATTATTAAAAATATACAAACTATAAAAAAATATTTTGTATTTTATATAATTAATATATTAGAAAAAATATATTGATCATTTCAAAAAAAAAAAAAAAAAAAAAAAAAAGGGGGATGTCTTGGTGCACGTGGATTGCTAGTCAGTTTTTGTTTTTATTTTTTTCATGTGTCATACAGAGTCTTCTATTTCTCTGTGTTCTCCTAAATCTTCATTTCTACAAAAACGGATCCCTGCAATGCACGGGCCAAATTATATATATAGATTTCAAAATTAGAAAGCTGCTTCATAATACTTGCAACACTTCTCTTTTTACATTTAACAATGCACCTTTTCAATCGTTAATATCTTTAATTATCAATGTGTAAAAATTATAAGAATATGAAAGTATAAATTGAGACGGGTAAAACAAGATCCCACATGACTATATTTTTCCTAACTTATGAATCACTAAAGTTAGTTAAAGTGAGATATATGAATAATGTAAAAGTCAAAGTGTTGCAAGAAAAAAAAAACGAAAGAAGTATATTTTTTTTAACTTAATTGCATTCTTTCAAATATATACGCCCTATGTGGGGCTTCATTGTTTTGAAATTGTTTACTTACCATAACTGATGCTTCCAGTCGCCGGGATGTTCGTCACCAACCTGAATAATGATTAACCAAAAAACAATTTTAATTTTAAATCCCAACTTTCAATCATTAATTACGTCCAATTTAAATATTGTATTGTGCATCAATGCGTCATAGATAACCCAAGATGGTACTCCCATATAGGTGTACACCCGCCTTGCATGAACAAACGTAAGTGGACTAATGGTCTTGTGAACACCGACCGCACCACTACCGATATTACCGTGTTCTGGATACTCTCGGGTGTATGATAGATACTACGGTTATCAAACCACGCCAAAAGAATTTTCTAATAACTTACCAATGCAAGTATTCTCTTTCGTTTGGATTGCCAGGACTTGGAGCGTCGGGATCTACCATAACCTTCATATTTTTGAGATAAGAAAATTGTAAATATTATGGACTGCGCCACATAAAATTGATCACATTTTATAATACAGATCATATATAAACCAAAGTAAAGAAAGAATAATAATTCGAAGGTAATTACCAATGTATAGTAATAAGTTGTCATAGGATCGTTACCCTGAATTTCAATTCTTGGTGGGTTGACAGTTTGAGAGGGTCTAAGCTCACAAGCGTTGATAACTTCTCTAGTTTCGTAAAAAATTCTAAGAGTTGCAAATTTAATAAAGGGATCTAAAACATCTCCAATTACATCGCCTAGAACAAGTGAATCTGTTGTTCCACTTCTAGGCATTGACATATACAAATGATATGATGATGAAAAGGTAAAAAAAAATACCACACTAAGTGTTTCTTACACTTTTTGAGTTCCCTATGCTACCGACGTGTGTAGTTTGCTGTTATAAAATAAAAATTATATGCTCTATTTATAGGGTTTCTGTAGGCATCAAATTTATTCTCCGCGTCCCTGAATTAATAGGGCACATTTGATTGTTTTAGAGAACAATTGGACATTTAATTTGTTGTTATTACTTTTCTTCACTAGCTAGGTGGTTTATACTATATACATTACTTTTAAGCCATTTAACATTTTCTTTGACTTCTTAATAATATATGCTTCCTCTGTTTTCTAAATATTGCATCGCTTGCCTTTTAAAGAAGTTTAACAAATATTGCGCCATATCCATTTTAGAAAAGAAATTATTTGTGTTCACACTATAAAAACCTTATACACCCTACCTTTTAACACTTGATTCTTTAGTTTATATTTACAATCACATGGGCAATTTTGTACTTTTACCTTTCTCTCCCTTCCTTATTCCCACTACCAAAAATTTTATGCCCAACCCTTATGGTGCAATATTAAAAGAACGGATAATATCATATCCCTAATATACAAAGCCGGTCTCGTAGTCAGATCACGAGACAGCGACACTTGGCATTCCAGTTTTTTGCCAAGTGTCACGCCACGTAGGCGAAAAATAGATATTATTGTGACACATATGATACTAAGTAAGCAATTTTTGGATAGATATTTTAAGATAAAATTGTTGTATAGAGTTTTATTATTGATAGAATTTTAATATTTCCTACATACAAAATTAATCATAACTTTTAATAAATATCATATAACTTTGTTTTATTTCCATCATCAAATTCGTTTTAAAAAGTTCTTTAAAATAAGATCCACTTATAATGTACTGCATATTACACAACCTTTTATACGTAGCTGGTCAAACCGTGTCACTAACTATTACAAGAGTTACTTCGTTAGTGCTATAGGGATAACTTGGTCGGTGTTATAGCGGTTACTCAATCAATGTTATAGATAGGGGTTACTTAGTCATTGTTAAAGGTTACTCAATTAGTATTAAAGGGGTTACTCGGTCAGTTTTATAGGTATTACTTTGTCCGGCCAGATTGTGTGGCTAGCCGCATACAAAATGCATTATTATTTAACTTATTTAAGACAACATTAGAGCCACTACTAGAAATAGGCCGATTTCCGACAGAATCATTCCGACGGACATAAATTCCGTCGGAAAATTCGTACTTTCCGACGGAATTAGGTCTGTCAGGAAATTCCGTCGGAAATGGTAGGTTACGACGGAAAATCCGTCGGAATTCTTGCGACGGAAATGAGTTCCCTCGGAACTATAAGCTTCCGACGGAATATTCCGTCGGAAAGTAAAATTTCCGGCGGAATTATAATCCGTCGAAAATTTCCGACGAAATAATCCCTCGGAAATCCCAAAATTCCGACGGATTTTTATTCCGTCGGAATCTTATTTAAAAAAAAACCATAAAAACCCGAAAACCCTAATCCCCCTCCCCTTTCATTTCTCTTTTCTCTCTTCTCTCTTCTGCCTCTTTTCCCTTTCTCTCTCCTTTCCTCCTCTTCTCCTTCCTCTTTCTTCTCCCCGTAATCTCTCTCCTCCTTCCTCCTCTGATCTCTTCTCTTTCTCCTCTCTATTTTCGCTTCGCTTCTCCTCCTCCTCCTTTTCTCTTCTCTCTCATCAACCACAATAACCAAGCCGCCATTAACGAAGCCGCCATTGTCATTTTTAAAGGTTTTTAAGGTCAATTTCGACCAAGAAAACTCTAAATCTAGAGGTTTTTGGTCGAATTTGGCCTTATTAACCAAGTTTGAGGTGAAGTTCGAACCTATTTCAGATTTTGAGGTAAGTTTTCGTGATTTTAATTTTTTTTTGTTTTTTTTTTAAATTGGTGAAATTCGATTTCCGGTTGGTTTTTGTGGTAGGTTTCGGACAGTTTGGGTGGTGACGGTGGTGGTTTGGGAGGGTTGGGAATGCCGAGGTGGGTGGTGGTGGTGGGGATCTGGGATTTGTGGTTAATTTCGAACGGTTTGGGTGGTTTTGATGGTGAATTGGGTGGCTTGGGTGTTTTCGGGGGTGGTGGGTGCGTGTGGTGGGTGGCTTAGGTGTTTTCGGGGGTGGTGGGTACGTGTGGTAGGTGTGTGCAGTGGGTGCGTGTGGTGGGTGCGTGTGGTGGGGATTGAGGGGTGGGCTAGTAGTAGGGGTGGTGGGGGTGGTGGGTGCGTGTGGTGGGTGTGTGCAGTGGTCTGGTGGTGGGGGTGGTGGGTACGTGTGGTGGGTGCGTGCAGCGGTCTGGTGGGGAGGGGGCTGGCAGTGGTCTAGTGGGGATGGGGTGGTGGGCTGGTGGTAGGGGAGGTGGGTGGGGCTAATATATTTTTTTTTATTAACATTTCCGACGGAAATTTCCGTCGGAAAGATGAAGATTCTGACGGAATATTCCGTCGGAATCTGCATATTTCCAAGGGAAATTTCCGTCGGAAAATTGCGACGGAATTTCTTTAAAAGTCAAATCCAGCTCCGACAAAATGTATTCCGTCAGAAAAGTGGCTTCCGACGGAATTTCCCTCGGAAAAAGTCGAATTTCCTACAAAGTGTAATGCGACGTTGCTTTCCGACGGAATTCCGTCAAAAATGGGCATTTCCGACGGAATTTCAGGGTTTTCCGACGAATTTTTTCCGTCGTTGATTGGCTTTTTTCTAGTAGTGAGTATCGGTAAAAATAAGTTTTAATTAAAATTAAAAAATAAGTTTTAATTAAAATTAAAAAATAATTTTAGTTTGGTGAAAATAATTTCAATTTAGTGAAAATAATTTTAGTTCAATAAATATAATTTCAAGTTAATAATAACATAGGTATCTATTTACAAACAAAACTTCAAAAAGTACACTATTATAGATATATAAGCCATATGATATCGTATGTCTAAATATCCTATATTATCAGAACAAATTATTTGACCGTATTAAACATTCAAGTGAAAATGTTATCTTAAAATTTTATCAACCTGGGCAATGCCCAGGTAAAAAAAAATACACTCCATATGATATCGTATATCTAAATATCCTACATTATTAGAACGAATTAGTTGACAATATTTAACATTAGTTGACAGTATATGCGAGATGATACGATTAATTAGCTAGATGATATCATTCGCCGTTTAAATGATATGATTGATTATTTGGATGATATTTTTAAGTCTATGCGGGATGATAGGATTAATTAAATGTATGGATGACATTAATAACTACTTGGATGATATCTTTAATTGTCTAGAAAAGAAAATACTTTCTTTGTCCCTAAAATAACGATCCTTTTGGGTAGTTTTCATGGGTATTAAGAAACTTACATGGGAAATACAAGTGTATGGGAAAGCTAATAAAAATACATTATAAAGGTAAATTTACACAGGATTTGCGAAAAAGTAGAGAGAGAAAGTAATAAAAAGTACATGGAAAAAGCATAATTTACATGAAAAAGCTAATTTTGCACAAATATTATTGTAAATTGGCGGGTATTTTAATGTAACTGGGATGAACATTTTGAGACTTAAATTTGGCCAAAAGAATCGTTCTTTTAAGGACAGAGGTAGTATAATTAATTGATTGGATGACATGTTTAATTGCTTGAATGATGTCAGCAACTAATTGGATGATATCTATAGTTTCTAGATTAGATGATATCATTCATTGATTATATGTATGATGTCAATAATTACTTGGATAATATCTTTAAATGTATAAGTTAGATGATATGATTAATTGGTTGGATGATATGATTAATTGTCTGGATTGTAGGATATATTCTTTTTTTTTGGGCTTGCCTCAAAGCTCTTCCTCATGAAGCTATTGGTGATGCAAACTAAGTCTCACCCAATAATAATAATAATAATAATAATAATAATAATAATAATAATAGTATCGTTTTCGTTGCGGGTGATGTGTTGTTTTATTCTTGGGATAGAGGCCTTGATGTATGTGTTGACTTGACGGGATTTTCTCTTTTGACTCAATCTGGGTTGTCTGACTTCGTTCCTGGTCGTGTTGTGTCGGCTGCAGCTCAGCGGAAGCGGGACGAGTAAGGGGCGCATTGCAGGGCTATTGGCTATGGTTTTCTTCCTTTCTCTTTTTCTTCATTGGGGGAATTAGAGAAGGATGTTGTTGCGTTGCTGAAGCGGGTTAAGGCGTTCACTAGGACTCAGGATATTGGTGCTCGTGTAGCTGATCACGTCTTCAACAGGATCGGGTTCACTATAGCTAGAGGGGTGAAGGCCCAGATTTTATCTCGGCTCCCCACTAATTTCTTGTAAATCGATTGACTTTGTAGGTTTTTGTTATTTTTCTATAATGATAATAATAATGATAATAATAATGATGATGATGATAATAATAATAATAATAATAATAATAATAATAATAATAATAATAATAATAATAATAATAATAATAATAATAATAATAAATGATAGAATAATAAAACATATTCCTGGGCCTCAACCATCAGCTTATATAAAATATATTTTTGGGCCTCAACCATCAGCTTAACCTTTTGGTTGAGTTGGTCCACTAATATGGTTTCAGAGCCAACGTGACACAAAGGTCACGGGTTCAAATCTCATCCACCCCTCCTTTTAAAGTGGAATATTTCACGCAAGGTATGCGGGAGGCTCATGCTGCATCCACATTTCAAGCCCAAAGGGCTCCTCTGTGAGGGGGTGTGATAGAGTATAAAACATATTCTTGGGCTTCAACTATTACGAACTCCTTGTTTGGCCTACCAAAACCGCGTGATCAACGAGTCAATCTTATTAGTGACTGCCAAAGGTAACTTAAAAGACTTCATAACATGAGAGGATATCCCAAGAAGGACCGTATTGATCATAAAATACATTAGTTAGTGTACATTAGGAATGGGCATTTCAAAAAAAAAAAAAAAAAAAAAAAGTGGGCATTTCAAAACTACAAGTACATATAGTGATACAGATGGATAATCGTGCAGCGGCTTTTATCCTTCGTGACCATGAAAATTTCGGTGGGAATGCACTCACATAATCCAAAGATGTCGACAAATGCTACATAATTGTAGTTGGGAAGTAGAGGTG